CCGTACATCTCGTGCACGACCGCTCTGTTCTGCGTGAAAAGTTCAAAATGAAACGTGAGAAAATTCATTTTTCTACAAAGAAAAAAATATTCCCGGCGTCACATCACGTTCATTCCGTGAGTAAGCCTTCTGGAGTGAGCGGTCGTTCCTTCGGATCCAGAAGCGCGTGTTATCTCATGTAAAAGCTCATAACTCCGTCTAATCTTAACCGTTTCCCTTGATTATTTTTTTATTTTCTCTCGGAGATCTTACTCTATTCATTTCTGACTCGAGATTTAGCTGTAATGATCTTTGTGATTATAACATGAGCGGTAAAGCAGCGTTTTCCCTTTCAATGTGCTTACACTCTCCAGAATCGGTTTCGCGAGTTCTTTCTCAATATGTAAAGCGCTTCCAAATCCAAAAAGCGAATGTGATAAGACAAGTCGTACTATGTACGGTGCGGAAGATTTGAGAGAAAAACTTTCCTCCCTCTAGACCTCGTGTCGGGACCAATAAAAATTTGGAAAAGTTCCAAAGTTCATTGAATTTTTTCGTACTTTTTTGGCTTTTTCGGATTGTTTTTGTGCTTTTCCTTAGCTTTTCATTGTTGTGTTCTGTGTTTTCTATTAATATATTCTTCTTCTGATTTTCCTTCAATTCTATGAACCGTACCCAGTTTTCAGTCGAACTTCGAGTCCATCTCGATGTTTCTGTTCTATCGATTGATAGTACGCGCTGCTCATTCCGTTTTTGTTGATTTCAGTGCTGATGTTGATGGTTTTCTCGAGAAATATGTTCCATTTGTAGTCTGAGTTGTAGATTGATTGAGTTCGCCTTCCTCTGTTTTCATTGATTTTTCCGTTTTTAGCCTGTCTTACTCAACTTACAGGTTATCGATTGATGAGTTGGGACTTCATACGTCATTGATTGTCTGTTCTCTTCTCTCCTCGTTCTTTTCCTTTCTTCTACTCTGTTTTATGTTTTTGATTTATGTTTTCAGATGTTGTTACCAACTTTTCTATCTTCGGATTGTTGTGTTTGAGACTCTTCTGATTTCTCCTTTGCCTTAACACCTCCCTTCCTATGTTTCATCATGTTTGACCCTCGTTCAATACTCCTGAACGAAATCGAGAACACATACCAAGAAAGTTTTCATTTTCATTCTCGAAACTAACCGATTGTCCTCTTAGAGCTGAGGAGTTTAACTGATTGCTCACTATCGTTGACTTTCATTTAAGTTTTCTAGATTGGCATTCATGTCTCCTTCCAGCAAAAGACTTTGAGAGTATTCATGTTAAGTCCTTTTTCGGGTTTCTTATTTTGTTCTCATTAAGTCCTGTTCCTGGTAGTGCAGGAAATTTTTTTTCCCAAATTCTTCTCCTAGTAGCACAATCAAAACTTTTTTTCGTCAATGTTGAGCCTTGTTTCCCAGTTGATGTATTCATTCTTATACTCA